ATTATTTCAATTTTTATTTCAAGGCTGTGATTTTACTCATCTTAGTTTGTGAAGCTTTTTACAGATGGCATTATGTTTAAAAGTTAATTTAAACACTGTGCATACTATGTTTGCGTTTTTGCGAGTTGATGATACTTGAGGCATTCACAACACTTACGGTCCCAATTCCAAAGTTACTGTGATATTTGCAAATGTAAACGTGCGATGAGGAGACTGTTGCTGTCGTTGCAAACAAAATAACGCATAGTTCCAAAACTAATGTAGCTTGGACTAAAGTGCTTATTTCACACTTAACTAATTGGCAGCTTGGTACTTCCCTGTTGGGAGTATAGGGACGTTTAGTCTAAGAAAATCTAGTCATGAATTGCTAAGAATGTGCAGGAGGTAGTTAGGGTAACCATGCATCAGCCATCTCCATCTCTTTTTCAATGCATGTGTTACTACTGTTCATCTAGTCAGAAATTTGTGTTGTGACGTGCCGAGATTGTGTCAGGGTTAGGGCTGTCCCACTGCCTCTTTTTTCTTACTTGTAAGGCGATTGGTGATTGACTTCGTACAAGAGGTTACCACCTATGGTTTCCTTCTATGCGTTTTACTCAAATTTTTAGAAATCAGAAACCTAAGGCGGCTATGGCAAAGAATGGATAAAGTAATGCAGTCGGTCAGAAACCCAGTGAGAAATTTTTCCGACGATATCGTTTCGACATCGGTTTTCACGTCGTAAGCGACAGTAAAGTGGGCCTAAAATCGACGGCTTTTCGACAGTCGACATCGAAACGACATCAAAACGACATCGTCTGTCGAAAAGCCGCCGATTTCAGGCCCACTTTACTGTCGCTTACGACGTGAAAACCGATGTCGAAACGATATCGTCGGAAAAATTTCTCACTGGGAAATCAGTAAGAATCAGTTGAAACACTAGAGTTGGGAAAACGCGTCACAGCCGTTGGTTTTCGTGATGAAGAAAACATTTATGTATGATCTAAATTCCCTCTAGTCTCTAATACATTTCCAGATTTATTTCTGTTTGATTCGGTCCTTTCGTTGATCTTACGGAGATCCAACGGAGGACACAGAAGAATTGACTCCTTCGGATGACTGATAACTCTGTTGAATGTTTCGCGTTTTCCACGATTTTTGCTGCTTGATTGTGTGTTTTAAACTTGTCAAGAATGGTGTGATCTGTAGGCATGTCGTCGTTTATCTTTAATGGAGTATGACTCTTCTGGTACCGAATCACAAAAGTGTGTGCTCATTATATTTAGTTATGAAACACCAATATGAATGGAAACTTTCCATTGGAGGAAATATGACCGAATACCGTGTACTGTCGAAGTCACTCTTGCGATGAGGAGCTCAATTCTGACTAGCTGGCGGCCGAGAAAACCAACTGTTTCAGAGAGCTATGTAATGCTGTGCCACAGGCATGAAGTCAGGCGGGATTGCCTACCTGCGCGGCGATACGACGTGTTCTGAAGGATTAGCAAGCCTGCAGGCGTGCTCACTTGCATATGTGGCAAGTTTTCAGAAGTGATCGGTTCTCTCCTTGCCAGTCGGCATTTCTTCCAAATTGGGCACTCGTGAGAGTTGTCATAGGTAAATTGTAGAACTTTTAACTGAAGTTTAGTAATTAATGTGAAATTTGTGTCCAATTGGACTTAACATAATCGTTGTCATCACTACCGTCTGGGCGGGATATAAACGTCAATGTGTTTTGTTTCGTTTTTGTACATAGTTCTTTCTTAGTTTTGAACTGTAATTTCATTGAACTATAACTGATCTCTTTAGTTCAAAAAACTTTTTCGGAATGTAGACCATACACATAGATTATAATTTTTAATTGAACATTTTGGACCCTAATGATGTTTTTAATAGATGGTTCTGTTTTCTGCTATTCACATGTCCACCACAAGATGGCCAGTTTCAGAGAAAATCATCGAACTATCGACCTTTCCAGGTATATCAAACGGTAGCAGAACAGCGAAGAGAATGTGCAGTCGGGCGTATTTTTAACGTAAAAACTGTGCCACGCACTCTGAAAATTCAAAATATAGGACAGTCTCACTGGTACAACAGTAGGGCCCAATGCCCCACTGTATACGCATATTCTACCTTGAGTAATATTAGTTATAACATTGGGGCAACGCCAACGCCTGTAAACCATTTTCTCTTATAGTTGCAGCAGTGGGTTGATGCTAATGTTGGATTTTCAGAAACAGTGCATCCTTCTCTGGTCTACTACACTGTGCATCATGAAAATGACGTTTACACGGAATAGTTTATCTATTGGTGTTATGGAACGCACTTTTCAAGAAATTGTGGGTCTTCTACTTTGTGAAACAAGTCGTGTATGGTATGCGGTCCTTAACTTGTGTCTGGATCACAAAGAACGGGCAACTTCTCCCCCTTATTTCCGTGACTTCCTTGAGAAGTACTAGAACTTAAAAATGTTGAAGGCGCAGGTTATATAAATGTTTGATGTAGTTTCTAAGCAAAATATACATAGATATATGGCTCCTGGAAGGGCCGAGAAAGATTCTGAATTTAAGCAGTTCGGCGAAATAGTCAGATTACTTTCAAAGACCTTCCCGCCGCCTTATAAAATGTACGTTATTTATAGCTTGTAAGATCGGTTATCCCTATGGGATACAGCTGTATTTAGTTAGGAGAGCTAAAGCCGAGAGCTAAACGCGAGAGCTAAAGCGAGAGCCGAGAGCTAAAAATCGGTCCGGTGGTGGAGGGTTCGGGAGCGCGCAACACGACCCGAGCGAGGCCCGAGGTCCCGAGAACGGACCGATTTTTAGCTCTCGGACTTTCGCTTTAGCTCTCGCGTTTAGCTCTCGGCTTTAGCTCTCCTAACTAAATACAGCT